ATACATGTGAGAATTACAAATACAAATATATATGAGAAATACAGATACAAATATGAGAATTATAAATACAAATATGAGAATTATAAATACAAATATGAGAATTATAAATACAAATAAATATGAGAATTATAAATATGAATAAATATGAGATACAAAAATGCAAATATAAGAAATCTGACTACTCACAGCAAACAGAGCAGGCCCCATGTAAGTCTCCATATACTGATAATAAAGGGACATTATCTTCACCAGGTTCTGTAAGGCAGCCACTCGTACCTTTGGGGCAAAAAAAGGGATTATTTAACACAATTCTGGTTGTTTTACCTGGGTTTGGGTGTCAGGAAGGTGCAGGGGCAAACCAAGCCCTGAATTCACTCACCCTTGTATCTGGACACTGTGTTGCTTCACAGACTACTTGCATAATAAAGTGCCTTTCAGACTAGAGAAAAGAAAGCAAAAAAGAACATTAGAAGGGGCTTTACAAAAGCACTGGAGGCTTCCTGGGGAGGCTGAATTTGAGCCTGGGCTGGCCCAGTCCCTCCTGCAGCACTTGTGAAGATCCAGGGGCAGCCCAGGGCACTCACTGCACTATTTTAAACCATTTCTGCCCCAAAGGGGGAATCCCAAGCTTTCCTTTGCAAGGGTTCAACTGGCTGTCTTTAAAATAAAAAGGGAAATAAAGACTCAGCTTTTCAGGGAAAGGAGTAAAAAAAAATCCCTGCTGTTCCCTATTTTCAGCAGTTTCTTCCAGAAAATTCCAGTCAGGACATCGATTTCTCGGGGGGGGCAGCACCTGGATTCCCACTTTTTGGCAGGAAGGAACAGATTTATTTATTATCATTATTATTTGACAGGTTATTTGACAGGACTGAGCCCACAGAAACGGAGCCTGAATGGATCCTGCACCTCCCATCCCCAATTCTGGAAGGCTCAGCTGATCCCCCATCAACACCCACCGAGGATTTTAGGGAGAGGTTTCCATGAAAAGTCCCTCTAAGCTGGAGGTTCAGCATTAATCCCACCTTCCCCACACTGTCCCTGGCAGAGAACTAAGGGATAAGACTTAAGCTGAGAGGGAAAAGCCAAAATCAGTGGGTTTGGCTGCTCTGCAAAGAGGCTCATCCCGAGGTTGGACTTTTCCTCCCCCAACGATTTCCAGAGGCCAAGTTAAACCTGGATGGGAGCCACAAGCACTTGAAAGGAAGTGCTGATCCAAGCTGGTCCTGGATCAGGAAAGCAGAGCATCCAACAGGCTCAGCTCTAAGGTCAGTTCAACTTCATTGCCCCCCTCTCCCCCCAAAAAAATACCCCAAACGTTTCCTCGGCACCGAAAATTTCCGCGGCATTTTTTTAGAGGTGAATCCAAGTCTCAGCCAGAACAGGATTATCCATCAAAACTCAGCGTGGTGCATGATTCCTCATCACAGACCATGGATTCAGCCCCGGGATCTGAGGCCAAGGGGGGTTTTTTTTTCCCTCCTCACCTCTTTGTCAAAGTTTGCTTTGGTGAATTCCAAAGAGTTCAGGAGTGCGTTGGTGGCCGCCAGCTTGACGTTGTTGCTGGGCTCTTCCTTCCTCATTCCCTGGATGATGGCTGTCAGGATCTCGTTGGATTTGTCCTGGAGCTGCTCTGGATCCTGGGAAGAAGTTTCCATGCAGTTATTTGCCACCTTAACAGCTTTTTTTTTCCATACATTAAGTACCCTCTGAGCTCAATCCTGATGTCTCAAGTTTTAGGACGTTTTGCTCCGAGCTCAATCCTGATTCCTACAAGTTTTAGGACGTTTTGCTCACTGGGAAATCCAAGGAATTCCTGCACCAGGACACCTTTGCTGCTTTTGGGATGAGGAGGAGACTGAACTGAGCACAAAAACTCCATAAATGCAAAGCCAAACAAATCCCAACTGTATCAAACATAAGCCAACAAGCTCCAGGACTTGACTTTGCTCACCCAGAATGTTAAAAAACCCACTGATTTCCAACTAATTTATGGACTGGGCAGAGCTCTACTTTTACTGGTAAATTTGCCAATATCTTTTAGACATAACAGCAAAAAAATGCACTGCCTGGAGCAGCAGCAAGGGCAGGAAACTGTTAAATCACTGTTAAACACTCAAGGCTTAGGGAATAAAGCTGTGAATACACACTAAAGATTCATTTTTCTTCGTGGCAAAATCAAGTCTGCAGGACCCACAAGTAACTGGGTGAATTGTTACATCAGGATTTACCCAGCAGAAAAATTTAAGGTTCCCAAACTACTGCCACAAAACTATGAAAACTCTAAAGGGGGGATCTTATAAAATAAATATAAGATGGGATATACCCAACCAGCAAGGCAGGGCACCCGAAAATCCAGAGGTTAGTGATCCATTCCACCCCAAAAAACCCAAGGAACAGCCCCTCCAGAGTTGCAGGGACTCGTCACAAACAGATTTCCTCTTTTATTTCACTTTTCTCCCCAGTGAAACCAACCCCTTGAAGCCAAATAAAAGCCCCAAACGAAAGATTTCCCCTCCTGCCTCACTCCAGAGAGATTCCAGCAGGGACACACGTTCTCCAGGACATTCAGTGGCACCAAAAGAGCAGCTGCTAATTCCAGTTTTTCAGCAGCAGGACACAGTTTTCCAACCAATTCCCACCAGGTCCTGCAATCCCGGGATAAACCCACCGGAGGTGCCTCCAAGAGCTCAACATTCCTGCCTCAAAAATTCCAGAATTAACAACAAGGGGGGTTCCCTACCAATATGAAGGTCAGGTTTTCCCAAGCCAGGAAGGCATCAAACACTGATCCCTGTTTTATCCCTGGTTTTATCCAACATTTGGATGCTGAGCTGGAGTTTTCCCCCGGCCTCGTGTGACCGCGGGGACACGGAAACTTAAACCTTCCCTTCAGGAAACATGACCTGGATTGGGGCTGGGAAAGCAGGTCAGTCCTTCCAGGCACCAGCCCTGGGTTTACTCCCACGGTTCTGCCAGCAGGATTAGGAACAGACAGCACAGGGAAGCACCAGCAGCCTCCTGGCTATGGAATCATGGAATTCCTAAGGCTGGAAAAGCCCTCCAAGACTGTCAAGTCATGGAACACCCCGAGCTGGGAGGGATCCAAGAGGATTATCCAATCCAACTCCTGGCCTTGCACAGGACAGCCCAAAATCCCACCCTGTCCCTGAGAGTGTTGTCCAAACATTCCCTGAGCTCCGGCAGCCCTGGGGCTGTGACCAAACCCTGGGGAGTTCCAGAGTCCAACCATCCTCTGGAGGAAGAGGCTTTCCTAAAAATCCAGCCCCACTCCCTCCTGACACAGCTTCAAGCCCAACCACAGGAGGGAGAAAGGAAGATGAGAGGTTCTGGGGAGAGCCTGGGAGCAAGATCCTCATGGAAATCCTGCAACCAGCACCTCCTGGAGCTCTGGCTGTGACCAAACCCTGGGGAGTTCCTGTGTCCAACCACCTTCTAGGGAAGAACCTTTCCTAAATCCCTCCTGACACAGCTTCAAACCCAACCACAGGAGGGAAAAAGGAAGAGAAAAGGTTCTGGGGAGACCCTGGGAGCAAAATCCTCATGGAAATTCAACCAGCACCTCCTGGAGCTATGACAGGATTGGGGCTCTGATCACTTCCCTGTGGAGTTCTGGTGTCCTTCATCCTCTGGGGGAAGAAGTTTGTCCTAAAATCCAATCTAAACATCTCTGACACAGCTTCAATCCCAACCACAGGAGGGAGAAAGGAGAAGAGGTGCTGGGAAGACCCTGGGAGCAAAATCCTCATGGAAATCCTGCAACCAGAACCTCCTGAAGCTCTGGCTGTGACCAAACCCTGGGGAGTTCCTGTGTCTAACCAACTTCTAGGGAAGAACCTTTCCTAAATCCCTCCTGACACAACTTCAATCCCAACCACGGGAGGGAGAAAGAAGGAGAAGAGGTTCTGGGGAGACCCTGGGAGCAAAATCCTCATGGAAATGCTTCAACCAGCACTCCTGGAGCTCTGGCAGGGTTGGGGCTGGTGGAGTTCTGGTGTCCTTCATCTTCTGGGGGAAGAAGTCTGTCCTAAAATCCAACCTAAGCATCTCTGACACACCTTCAAACCCAACCACAGGAGGGAGAAAGGAAGATGAGAGGTTCTGGGAGCGCCTGGGATCAGGATCCCGCCGGGAATGCCCCGGGGAGCACTCACGATGTCCTGGCAGATGTAGCCGATGGCCTCCAGCGTGGACTCCTTCATGTGCTCGGTGCTGTGCTGGTTGGTGACGTTGGCCACCAGCTGGGGGATGAGCTCTGGCCACTGGTTCATGGGGATTTCGGCGCAGGCGATCCCGGCCACGCACTGGGAGGCGGAGCTGGGCCGGTAGGTCTCCGTTCCCAGGGTCTGGAGCACCTGGAATGGGGCAGGGAAGGGGTTGGGGCAGGGCCAGGTAATCCCTGCCCATCCCAAATCCTGCCCAGCAGAGCAGTTGGCTTGTTCTGCTTCCTGCTGCAAACAGGGACCATGTTTGCATGGCCAGAAACGAGGCTGGAGAGGAACATTCCCAGTGGGAAGTGGGATCCAGCTGGGATTCCAACACATCCAGTAACTCTGGGAACACATGTGCCACAGCAGGGCAAGGGCTCAAACAATCCATCCCCACTCAGAAATCATCATAAAACAAAAATTATTAATATCACTATCAAGTTGTCATTTAAAAATTGCTACAGAGTAAAATTATTGTTATCAGTTAAAATTATAAGGACAAAGCAAAATTATTATTAGTTAAAATTATAAAGACAAATCAAAATTATTATTATTAGTTAAAATTTATAAAGACAAAGCAAAATTATTGTTATCAGTTAAAATTATAAGGACGAAGCAAAATTATTTTTAGTTAAAATTATAAAGATAAAGCAAAATTATTACTATTATTAGTTAAAATTATCAAGACAAATCAAAATTATTATTATTATTAATTAAAATTATCAAGACAAAGCAAAATTATTATTAGTTAAAATTATCAAGACAAAGCAAAATTGTTATTATTGTTAGTTAAAATTTATAAAGACAAAGCAAAATTATTACTATTGTTAGTTAAAATTTATAAAGACAAAGCAAAATTATTACTATTGTTAGTTAAAATTTATAAAGACAAAGCAAAATTGTTATTATTATTTAAAATTATAAAGACAAAGCAAAATTATTATGATTAGCTAAAATTATAAAGACAAAGCAAAATAATAATTATTATTAGTTAAAATTTATAAGGACAAAGCAAAATTGTTATTATTGTTAGTTAAAATTTATAAAGACAAAGCTGAATTGTTATTATTATTATTAGTTAAAATTATAAAGACAAATTATTATTATTGTTGTTGTTATTATTATTACTAAAATTATAGTAGAGCAAATTAACAAACCAGAAATTGGGGGTGAAATCCCTGCCCAAACACCAATTATGTTTTCTGCCAAAACAATCTACAGAACCATTCAGAGGAATAATTTCCTTTCACTTTGCAATCAATTAAAATGATTTTTTTGGGTGTTCTTCCATAACTCTTTTTTTAGGAAAAGCAGAGGGATCACACTGCTCACATCCAAGGATCATTCTCCTCCCATCAGCCAAAAAACCACTGAGCCACCACTTCTGCCACCAAACTTTAACCATCAGAGGGCTCAGGGGTCCTCAGGCAAACTCCCAACACTTAAACATCTAATTTTCTATTTGGGAATTGCAATTTTTTTTACCATTTTCTACTCTTAAAACTCCTTTTAACTCCTCAGGCCTCTGTGGTCAGGCACTGACTGTGCTCCCAGGATGGGATTGTGGAACACCTCAGGGAGCTGTTCCTTGGAAAAGGAGGGAAAACCTTCCCTGAGGGGGGTTTTCTTCTGGAAAAATCAAAGCAAAGAACTGCAGAGGAGGAGCTGTGGATTCATGGAATGGTTTGGGCTGGAAGGGACCTTAAAATTCACCCAGTGCCACCCCCTGCCATGGGCAGGGACATCTCCCACCAGCCCAGGTTGCTCCAAGCCCTGTCCAACGTGGCCTTGGGCACTTCCAGGGATCCAGGGGCATCCAAAATTTCTCTTGGTAACCTGTGCCTTGGACACTTCCAGGGATCCAGGGGCAGCCCCAGCTTCTCTGGGAAACTGTGCCAGTGTTTTAACATCCTCATGGGAAAAAACTTCCTTCTGCCTCATCCAGATCAATTCTGCCCTTTAAAACCATCGCCCCTTTTCCTCTCAGAATCCCAGAACACCCTGAGCAGGAGGGGATCCCCAAGGATCACCCAGGGCCACCCCAAAATCCCCCCCTTGCCCCTGAGAGCGTTGTCCAAACGCCCCCTGAGCTCTGGCAGGTTTGGAGCCGGGACATTCCCAGGGAATTCCAGCGCCCAACCACCCTCTGGAGAAAGAGCCTCGTCCCGATATCCCCCCAATTCTTGTATGGAATTAACACCCCACAAAAAGCCCCACAAGTCCAGATGCTGCTGCTGCTGCTGCTCCAACGGGAGACTTGGCAGGTGGAAAAATGATGGAAAAAGACATTCCAGGGCGAGAGAACCCCCCAAAACCCCGAGACTCACGTAGTTCTTGACCTCCCTGCGGGCGTTGGCGTCGATGGCCAGCCATCTCTGCTGGTACTGGGCCTTGATGTCGGGGTCCTTGGAAGTCAGGGAGTTCTTGATCTGCAGCCCCGCTGCCACTCGAGCCACTTGGCTGTTCCCGGGATTTGCCAGCACTCTGGACAGTTCCACCAGGAAGGTCGGCTGGGGACACAGAGCAGGGTCAGCCCCCGACCCCACAGAGCTGGGGGAGAACCCCCCTGAGCCCGGGAGACCCCAGGAACAGCCTCTGGGATCACCCCCCGGGAACAGCCCCTGGGAACACCCCCCAGGAACACCCCCAGGAACAGCCTCTGGGATCACCTCCCTGGGACAACCCCCCCTGGGAACAACCCCCTGGGAACACCCCCCAGAACAGCCTCCAGGAACAGCCCCCAGGAACAGCCTCGAGGATCACCCCCCAGAACACCCTCCAGGAACAGCCCCCAGGAATACCCTCTGGGAACACCCCCCAGAACAGCCTCCAGGAACACCCCTCAGGAACACCCCCTGGGAACACCCTCCAGGATCACCCTCCAGGAACAGCCTCCAGGATCACCCCCCAGGATCACCCTCCAGGATCACCCCCCAGGATCACCCTCCAGGAACAGCCCCTGGGATCACCCCCCAGAACACCCTCCAGGAACACCCCCCAGGAACAGCCCCAGGAGCTGCCAGAGCTCCAGCCCCGGCTCTATCCCGGGATTAGGGCCCTTAAGCTCCTCGTCAGGACCTCTGGAAGCGCCTCTGCTGGTTGGGATTTTTTATAGCTGTCACCTTCCCTGCTCCTGCCTGCCCCGAGTATCCCTTCAAATAAACCCCTCCCCAGGCCAAGGGATGGATTTTTCCAGGTGGGAACCAAGCCTAGCAAGGAGGGAATTCCCTGCTCCTCAATTCCTTTGCTGGAAGGCAAACACCCAAACTGGGGCTGTGAAGGGATCAGGGGCTGCTTTTGGGGTGTCACAGAGGGGTTTGGGGGGTTCCAAACTCCCTTCCCTGCACAGGTCCAGAGTCTTGGGCTCCCAGTTCTCAGTGACCCAACCCAGCCCTCCAAATAAAATTCATTTCACTTGTTCCACCCAGGACTCCTCAGCCTTCCAACTGCAGGATTTGGGGGACAAAAAATGTGGGGAAACTTAAAAAGGGCACAGCCCAAATGATGAGTAACCCCCTCTCAAGGGAATAAAACCCCCTGACATTGATGCCACTTGCTTTGCTAAAACCCTTAAGTTTTAATTAAACCCTTGATCTGACACCTTCACATTTTCAGAGGTTTCTGCTGCATAAAACAGAGCTGAAGTTTCAGGAGTTTTTTATTTTCCTGGCCCTCAGAAGCTTTTTTGCCTGCTCAGAAAACCTTTCTAGGAAACAGTGGAAGGGGCTGCATCACCTTCAAAACCATTTTACACGAGGCAGAGACGTGGTTTTACTGGAAATATTTAACTTACAGTTACATTAAACCCATTTCTGTCATCTCTTAAGGTATCTCTTAAAAAAAAAAAAGAGATTTTAAGATACACAAATATTTTAAGGCACCAAAAAAGCCTTGAAACTAAATCAATCTTTAAAAGCTCAACACACAACAAGTCCAGTGTCTTTGACTCCACGTTCTCAATGACCCAGCACAGCTCTTAAAATACAAATTCATTTTAGTTGTTCCATCCAGAACTCTTTTTAACGTTCAAACTGCAGGATTTGGGGACAAAAATGTGGGAAAATTGAAAGTGATGAGCGTAAGAAATAGAAATGGAGCAGACAAAACCCTACAAACCAACCCCACTAAACCCCTTCAAACCATCCAGATCCCTGTTTTAGACACTGATTTTACAACAAGTGAGGAACCAGCCCCAAAATAAAACGTTCACAGGACAAAATACAAAGTGTTGCTGCCACCTCTGAGAACAAAACCACCGAAATCCAAAGGTGAAGAAGCATCCTTGGGTTTCTCACTCATAAATTAGCAGGGGAAAAAATGGTATTTTTTTTTTTTGGTGGGGCTTTCAGACTAATTTCAGCTAAAAATGAGAAGCATCACATGAAACCTCCCAGACCTGAGAGTGAAAGGAAATGCAGGTGTGCAGGACCTCAGCTCCCACCTGCAGAGGGGTCAGTGAATGACTCAGAAAAGGGGCTCAATCAGCTAAAATTGAGCCTAAATTAGCTGGGGGAGGAAGAGGAAGGGGAGGAGGAGGAAGAGCAAGAGGCTCCATCACCCCCTTCCCTCTCCTGGGGCCATCCAGGCTCTTCCCACCCACCCACTGACCACATCCTGTGGTGGGAACAGCCCCGAGCTCCACATCCTCATCCTCCTCCAGGACTGAGCCCCCAGTTGCCCTCACAGCCCCTCTGGAGCTCCTCAGCCCCTTCCCTTTCCCAGCCTGGGCCATTCCACATCCTCATCCCACCCCAGGACACTCGTTTTTGGTCCCAGCACGAGCTCTGCCTCCTCTGCTCTCTCACAGGGCAGAGAATCCAAAGGAAACCTTGGAAAACCCACGCCTCCCTCAGCTCTTTCAAACACCTGAAAAGCAGGATCATGACCCGAAATCCCTCATGTCACACAGCCCAGGATCTCCAGGTCAACCCTGAGATCTCACAAACTGCAATTCAGAGGATTTAGACCCAAAAGTGATGTTTGGCACAATCCTGATTCCGAGGGGACCTCGCACACCTTTCCCAGACATGGAGACCCTGTGACTTTCCCAGTTTACACCAGTGGAGAGCAGGGCATGGAAGTGGCTGTAGGATGAGAGGTGGCAGTTTTGGGGGGATGAGAACGGGTGTGTCACAAGGACAGAGTGGAGACACCAGCACCCAGGACCCCCCAGCACCTTCCAGGACCACCCAGTGCTCCCCATTCCCTGCAAGGACCACCCAGAGCTGCAGCCCCACACCTTGACTAAGCAAAAACCCTCCTAAACCACCGGCAGCCCACCTTCCCTGCTCCAGCACAAGGATCAAACCTGGGGCTCTGGGCTTTTTCTCCTCCTTTTTTATTAATTCTTGATACATTTTTTTCTCTGCTTTAGGGTCACTGGAACTGCCCTGTGGACCATCCTTGACCACCCTGACCCCCTCTCCAGAACCCCACTGCTCCAGCACCCCCCTTGGGAGGGCCCTGGGGTGATGAGGGGGTTCTACAGGCAAGAACTGGGCCTGGGTG